AATCCGCGTACATCGCCATTGTGTCATCTCTCCTTTGTCACAGAGAGTAATTTGCGGAGAGGGTCATACATATTCATTAAGCCTTTTGGCCTCACAAAATGGTTTTTCCATGTCACTTTGAAATGGGGTGACGCTGATAAGGGCGAACCGTGGAGTGAAATACGGGGACAAAACGTCGCCCTCCGCGCGCCCCTGGCTGAGGTCGCGGGCAGATATGAATGGAGCTGGGGGTCGCCAAATGTCAGTGTCAAAGGCAGCGTGCCATAGCCGTTAGGTCATACGTTCTCAGTGACGCACTGTAGCACCGGCAGTCAACACACCCCCAACCAATGCCCCAACATAGGACGTTCTGTGTTGTTTTGGTCAGGGCAGCCAGGCTGTGATACTGTATAACAGTTTACTTCGACTCATTGTCGTTGACTTCTAACAGCATATTTCATTAGTATCGACTTTTATGGCTATTATCGTGGTACTTCGTCTTTCTTAACAAAGCAGGTGTCGTCAATGTCTCAAACCATTTCATATATCAAAGAAAAACTATCAATTCAGCCTCTTTGTAAATCAACACCGTACGTATAAAATCAACCCTCCATCCCCTTACCTGAATGAGAAACACATGTCATGTTTGCAAAGCATGACGTCATTTGACGTCATTGTCGTAGAATTTTAGGCCTCTATAACAACGAGATAAAGGACTGTGTTTCTTCCCACAGGGGGTTACCTTCCTGTGCTAAAAATAAATCAGTATCATTAAATCACAAAAAAAACAGCTATTCATCATATTTAGTCAAGGCACTGCACGTCACATCAAATCATTATACAACTCCATACCTTACTCCAAGAATGTTTTTGAAGACATGTTTGTTATGTCTCTTATTTCATTACCGGATTAATACCCTTTGATATAGGGGCTCACCCAATCGCAATCATCGTGTATTAAAACGTAACCCATTCATTAATTTGATGACCGTAGCTACCTGGACGCTTCCGTTGCCGTGCGTTTTTCACACAGCGTTACCACCGCGACGGTCCATGTCTCTAAACATCCACACATGTATAGCCTCACCTGATAAGGGCGCGGAGTTCATGTCATGACGGGCACGTTGTAGCCTCCTGGGCAGGCCTCCGGGCGGGTGGGAGTTTTGATACGCGTTCTTTTGCCGGCCATCCTACAACCAGCCGCCTAGTGAAGGTTTGTACCAGCCAAAGGATGGCCGGCAAAAGAACGCGTTAAAAATTCTACAAAACGTAGTATCAAAACTCCCACCCGCTCGGAGGCCTGCACAGGAGGCTAGCACGTCGCACGTTAGGTGTTTAACGTGCACTTAGCGCATGCTTTCGTCGCCGAGACCGTCCCGAAAACAATACGCTTGACCTATGAGTGAAACAGGAGGGAATAGGTCTAGTTCATAAGATGTTCCGACATGATTGATGGATGTGTTCATGAAATGAAAGCTTATATAATATATTCATAACACCGTGGGTGTCGTCAAACTAATGTAATAGTATGAACAAAGTTGTTACACAAGCGCCAGAAATTGTTTTTTGTCAAATTGTTTGGAAACTTAGAGCAGCAAGTTTGTAAACGTGCGAAAGTAGAAATGATAAAGTAAGGCGACTAGTTACAGTCACGGTACGGTGAGTTACAGCTATACATCCATAATGAATGGGGACAGAGAGGAAGAGGATAGTCATACATTCTTTTATCAGGCTGATCTCCAAGCAGATGTAGGAGTGGAAGACTGTGTTTTCTGTCTGCTGTAGTGGTGTAGAGTAGTGGAGGGGTGTGTCAGAGAAGCACAGCAGTCAAAAAGCATTCATTACCGTCTTTCATCCCCACATCAAAGCCTGACACTATGACATTAACAGGTAGCCTAAACACACCCATGGTCTGTGGACCATTTTCGCCGGAAATCGATGAGATACGGTTTTTATCGACGTTTTCCCGGCGGCCTTTGCGCTAATATGCTCATTAAGGCGGAGATAATCGGTGATGTTCAGGATGGGACAATTTCCCGCCAAAATGGACTCAGTATTCCTATATCATGGGATTTGTCGAATGCAACTATTATGAGGGAAGGAGGAGGGGGCACAAATATAGCATGCGATTTGATTACATCTATCAAAAGGCCTTATTAAAACAAATGTCCGCCTGTCATCAATCTACTGCACCGACAAGTCATTCTGATAACGACTCTCTTTTACTGCAGCGCTTGCAGAAATTTCAAAATTGCAGCTGGTGGCAATTAGCAATTAGATCTCTCATCTCTTTGCTGACTAAAATTTCTTTTGTTTTCTCTCTTATCTGGTTTCTGTATATACCTGAGAGTCTATTGTTGAGTCTCTGATATCCATCACTGTTTCTTACCTGTAATTTGTTGACTTCACTAATTGCCGATGAGGTACTGGTGTGTGTTATCTTAATTACGGAGGCAATTTATGAGAAAGGCACATTATTTGTGGCTATTGTTTGGCGTTCGTCGGAATCTACGAAACACCAGCTTCGTTGAAGCGAAAAAGATAAACACTTATCCTAATTCAATCCGAAAGAAGTGTGAAGCAAAGTGTAATGATTCGTGATGATTGTGTCTTTCTTCCAAACACTTATGTGACACAGCCCTAAATAGGTCCGTAATATTGGTAAAGGCAAAGCGGCTTTCCCAAAGCGGCTTTCCCAATCAAAGTCGAAAGTGTGAATATTACAAGAATACTCCTATAACCTCCCTAGTTTACCTAGAGTATTCCATAGGTAAGCATCAAACATTCTTTTACATCATCGAATGTATCTAGCTATATATATAGCTTTTCTTACAACTGATACCAGATACATTAGACATGTTTCGTTTGAATCTGTGACTACATTCCACAGTCGGAAATGTAGGAGGCGGAGGAGGTACATGTAATGAATTGTACCTTCACAACAGTCCTGGCATTGCAATTATCTAGCAATTATCCCTAATTGCTGGGAAAATACTGAAATGCGTATTCAGCACCACGAAAAAGTAGACCATAACAATAAGTAAATGTTTCTCCAGTGTTTTTCGCCCGTCCATGTGGACGACATCTGTATATCGATGCTATGCTGGCCTGACCTACATTCAACAAAACCACTACAGCACGTTGCACTTTGGTTTCCGGCTTGTGGTAAAGTGAAGAGCTTAGGCGAGCCATGGTTACACAGCTGTTTTGCCAGTAATGCATGTCGCCTTACGTAAGCCCTGTGTGCAGAATTCGATGTGAATCCCTGAGAAATAAAAGTGCTCAGTTGAAATCTCAAAGCAGATGTTGGGAAGCGAAAATTTACGCTTTTTCACAGGCAACCCTTCAGATCCTGTGGAAATATCTGCGGAAAGTCGGAAGGATGAAACGCACACATCTTCACCTAGAATCTAATTTCATTACCGTTTCAGTCGACTTTGAATAAAACACAAAGCAGCAGCGCTACTACATGTAGTACTAGCTGGTAATGTGAATCGGAAACGACCAAACCAAGAATACAATGCTGTGGGAATTTGTCTTGTACGACGACAATGCTCGTGTTCCGAGGGCCACAAAAGCCGCCATTTTGCCGTCGCGATCTTTGACCTCCACCTACATGTCAATGTCAGATTGGTTACTCCTTTGTAGTACCTGTGAAAACAGGTGACGTCACTTTGATCCAGGCAATTTATAACCCGAATTCTTCCGATATTTCGATCAGGATTGGGTCAGAGGGCATTCGGCAAAATGGCGTCTTTTTCAACCTCTGACACCGGCGTACAAATGCCCTGCTATGCAACAGTGCTGGTTTTTTGTAGCTATAAACAAAGACGTGTGCCCCCGATGTTTGGGACCCCTCCCCCTTCTTTGCCTGATGACCGCTAGCATCCCAGTGTGTGACGTCACGTGGCCGGCCTCTTGAAACCGAGAAGAGAGATTTTCTGGGACGTTGCCAATGAAAGGACCCTTCGGCTTTTCAAGTAGGGAGGGAATAGGCAGGGACGGTGCGAGGGAAGATCCAGTGTTACACGTGGGATGGAGCATGAAAGTATCTGAAGTCCGTTCAATATCATTTGACCCTTATCGTGCCACAGTTAGTAGCAGTGACTAATAGAACGGAGACCAGCTTTAAAAGTATAAACAGTAAAGATGGAAGCTAAATCCAACAGGTGGTTGGCTGTCACGAACGTGCTGTTTGCGCCATTACTAGATTTGTGATGTTAATCCCGCCATTATTACCAGTTATTACCTGTCATTTGAGAGTCAGAACAATGTTGACACTGTATTCTTGGCTGAGTTAGGTACGTGCTTCGATCGTGTGCTTGCGATATGGACGAAAAAAAATCAGACATTCTGAACGCGGGGGTTTCGGTAAAAAAAAGTACTGCCTATATGTACTGCTAGTGTTATGTCTTGCAGCGCCGTGATGATCAATTATCCAATTCATTTATTTATTTATTTGTTTATCTATTTACGATCGTGACTACGTGCACGACAAGATCCCTACAAAGAAATGAAGCTTGTTAATCTCCACCCTGCCGGTGTTATTTGGTGGACAGTCCCTCCGCGGCACCCTTCGTTGACAGGCGTGTGTCGTATCGTTTGCACCCGTGACCCGGGTTACGCCGCGCCGGTAGTTGGCACTAAAAAGGACGACGCTATTCGCTCCCGCCCTCACAAATATTATGAGAGCAAGCCGAGCTCGCCAGAGAAAGGTGCGCTGGCAAGCTAGCTAGAACCAAGTCATCTGTAGACGCGTAGCTACGAGGGGAAACGAAAAACGATACCGGATCGGGTGTATACATGTTGTTGTGACCCCACTAAGATCTGTGTGCAGTAACCCGAAGTAGCTTCCAGTAGCTCATCTCATGGTGCCGTGGTTCTGAGTCCCATGGTACACTGACGGCGTGTTGTGTTGTATTCAGAACCCTTACAGGTGGTTGAACCGAGGATACGAGGTCGCTGAACCAAAACCACAAACACCACTTGAAAAGACGAGAACAGGAGACAGGGCGTGACGGTATAGACCACGCAGGTGCGCCCCGTGCTCACGACACACTACTGAACTCCAGAGCGGCTCGCGTGTGTGCCCTGTGGTCAGTGGAACATGTCGTCCTCCTCCAGAAGCCCCACGCTCATCACGGCCAGGCTCTCCCCGCCAGGACAGATGTCCACGAATCAGCGACGACCAGGAGAGGATCCTGGAGTACAACTTCGGCCACCTGACGAAGACTCCCGACGGCATCACGCTGGAGATCATCGCCGCCGAGTCGGGACTGTCCGTGGAGGAAACAGCGGTAAGATAGTCTCCAAGTAGATCTTTTAGTGGCTGCAAAGACAGAGTCAAATTGGCCAAGCAGTATCCATTTGCCATTTGCCAGACAGGGGAAATGGTAATTGTATGGCAAATGGATTGGTCAAATTGATATGATTCTGTCTTTGCAGCTACCAAAAGGTCTGCTTGGACATTACCGGTAAGATACGCCGTAGCCTTTCAACAATCAGTCTTGTGTCTTAACCGTTAAAGACTATGTTTTATTTTTCATTTTTCATTGATTTATACTGACCTCAAAACGGTCCCTCCTTATACCATATTGTATAACACGTCGACCTAGAAAGATCAGCTTGTTGCTATTGTTTGTAGAATTCGTGGCGCCTCTCAAAGACACTGTTGGAGTCGCATAGACTGAGACCTAAATTTCGTAAAGTAACCCGCCGATTCTTTACACCGATAGTGTTTTCTTAAATAGTAAGGTCTAGCGGAATGCTTGATTTCAAAGACAATTTAGATGATATTTGTGGCTATAATTTATCACAACAGAGCAATACATACACATGATATCAGACTACTTAGAGCACAAATTAACGACAATTGCCGATCATAAACGTTAAACACGGGGCGTCTTAGCTCTTACATAAGTAGATTTTCATTCCGAGGAGAACAAATATCTCGGATGTTGTTGTTTGTGCACAAAGGGCAGTTTGTGTTCCTGTCAAACACGGACTCGGTTTTAACTCTGTTATCTCGGCTCATCAAAGAGAACATTTCAGTTAAGGTTCCTTCTTAATCCACATCTATTGATTAAGACGGTTATATATCAATCTGTCTTAATTTAAGAAACGTGAAATCTGAAATACGTAGCCATTCTGGTTTTAGAAAATAAAGAACTTCGGTTTCATAACGGCAGTCACTTTGGTCTAATGACACACAAAAAAGACACGCAAGTCACAGAGCCGAAATAATGTCTCTTCAAGTCTTCACATCACCGCAAGCGATGATTTCGCAGAGAGGAAGTAAAGTAAATGGGAGGGCAATGAGGTGCTGTTTTCCCTCTTGTGTTAATCATCAGTCAACTCTCGTCTGCCCGCCTGTCAATCACTCGTCCATCCTCGAGGGTCGTGTTTTCCCGTGGCGGATACGTGTGCGCACGGCTGTGTACGGTTCGGATTCGCTCCGCCGGTTAAACAAACTCATTTAACCCACTTACTCCCCGGGCCAAGGAAAGTTACTCACGCTGAAAATGGGCAATCGTGTCAGGGGGGGATTCCTTGGTGTGAGCCGAGCCGCCTGTGGTGTACGCGGGGTCGATTGGCCCGGGGTTACCTCGTCTCAAAACTTCCCAAATCGTGTCTCAGCAAACGTCTTTCACACGTTCACCATGAACCTGTCACCATTCGGTTCGTTCCTAAACAAACCGGTGTAAGTCCCCTGACAAATTCCACCATTGCCCCGTTGTTCATTAAGAAGGTCATAAAGTACATCAAACACCACCCCCTTCACGAAACGATTTCGGTAGAGAAACGTAGCAACCTGTGAGACAATCCCTGGCCAAAATGTGGGCTAAAATGTCAATTTTTTTAAGAAATTAAGTTAAAGGAGGACGAATAACTTGCTAGACTTGTTCGAGCCACGCAGTGAATAACAATCTATCATTAGACGTGTATTAAGGAGCGCTCTACAACTGTTGACTACCCTCTTGAGCAGTGCCATAAACTACTTCAGACTGGGGTCGTGCTTCCGTACAGCAAAGTTGTGTCAACTGCAGACGTCAAACGTCCTAGCCTGTTAACCCTACCAACGTCAGAGTTGGGTTGTTGACGTCTGAAACTTTTGTTGTCTTTAAACCGATTAAAACACAGCAAGAGTTGTGACATAGCTTAATAGATTTTAGATTATAGAACAGGACGAAATGTCCAGGCTCTAAACCGTTGAGTGACAGCTTCATGGCGAAAATTTCGAGGACTAGTCGTTTAATCTTTATATTGGTGCACAAAAATTGAATTACGTCGAAGAAGGTTCGACGGGAACGAAAAGAAGTGAATGCTACTTGAAACGTCAGATAATTTTTAAATCTAGGCAGTGGTTTGAGTAACTGTTGTCTTGTGTGAATTATTGAACTGTTCCCTTTCCCTGCACAGAAATGGTTCCAACATCGGTACGCCCTGTGGAGACAGAAGGAAGGTCTTCCGCCCAACAGCGGAAGGGTAACAGACTAACAGACGAACGTACAGAACTCACCAGGGAAGAACAACGTCTGTCAGGGAAGAACAACGACAACGTACTCAACAGTATGGCGGCGCTCATCCAATAGCCTTCATTGTTACAATACAAACTGCAGTCTTCATGCAGGGCTAGTCCATTTTAAAAGTTGACATTTGACTGTCAGACGGATTCGGAAGAATTTTGTAGGGTGGAAATTCAATAGAAGGGAGTAGCGACTGATATTTAAGACAGGGGTATATATTATAAGGAAAGTTTTCAGAACACCCCCTCCGTAACTTTTCACATGGAATAGTCTACGTCTCGCTTTGGGGGGGGGGGGTAATTATTCTCATCTTCAAACGTCGAGTTGTCATACAAATATGTTTCCGCTGCTTCATCTCATTCAGGTATGAATTCGAAGGAAGTATGAATTCGAAGGAACTGTGCCGAAAGTTAGTATGACGAGCGAGAAGCCGGATACATATATGTTTAATCTAGGAAGGTATTTGTGTTATCTTATGATGTACATGTATATTTTATTATGTATGGTGTTATTTAATTTGCGGCTGTGCACGCAAAGTCTTCTCTGAAAGTATACATTTGGACACAGGTACCAGGTGAAAGACATGTAAACAATTGTCATGACTTGATGACGAGCTAGGTTCATTAAGATTAAAACATGCAACTTGTGCCCCTGTAATGGCCGTTTGTGCAGAACCGTCACGATGACGTGTAGAAATATGTGTATCTTCTAGATATTTGTGCTATCGTCACCGTTTTTGTGTATGCAAGTTGTATTTCAAAGAGAGAAAGAAAGGCTTATAGCTGAAAACAGGGACGTAATGTATCGATATTCTTTACCGTCGTGACTAGCTAAATCACACAATCTAGCAAATGATGAAATCAGCACATGCAAAGGCCGAATGTTCTGCGTACATTAGTTTTCGTTTTCACGTTAGTCATTGCAATATTTGTGGAACTTTTTATTTTATTTGTTTGACCCTGTACTGTGTGAAATGACGACGAGTCGATATGATACAAAACATATTGTTGATCATTTTTTCTGACTGTGTACCACAATTCACACATTCGAATTCAGTGATAATGTTTATTATTTTAACGTATCAGAGACGTAAATAGTCTATATAAATCGTGCCAATGTAAGACGTCTTCAATCAACACTAGTGTTGCCCCACACAAGTGCTCTAGACTCCAAGTGACAATGTTAACGTGTATATTTTGTAGCTCTTTCCAATATTCCAATGTGATCAGAATCACCAATTGCAAAGCACATTGTTTATGGAGTAGTGTATATTTTGTCGAGACACATGCCGGCTTCAATATCACCATTAAACACATGAATGTCTAAAGTTTGCAGTCTTTGATATATAGAAGTGGTGTGGAGCACCTCTTTTACTTGCATTGTGTCAAGACCTTCACGGCGGCTTGATTGCATAAAAGCTCTTATGCATGAAATTCCTTTCAGTAACAACCGCTTCAACTTTTCTTTGCTACTCTTTTTGTGCATACACGTAGTTTCTTATTGTTCCTTTATATGTACCCCACGCCCACTACAGTATACCTGGACTTGTAGACTGAACGTGATTTTTAGGTTGGACGTCTTTTATTCTGTTGGAAACAGGTGAAGTTGAATCAACATGGAGTTGTTAGGCATAAAGTACGGTGATGTCAATAACCACATAAATCCTTAGCTTATTCATTAGTCCAAACTGGTTTGATTATATGCCGCATGACATCCTCTGGAGTCTGAATACCCCAAAACTGGTGCGATTATGCAAAAAAAAAGTGAGCAAAAAAAGTTGCCTTCATCAAGAAATTTAAGTGGTCGGTAAGGTGGAATGAATTGGTCACATACTAGCTAGACGTTGGAACTGTTCTTGTCCAGTCGCAATGTGACGTCAGATAAATGAGACTGGCGATCATTTGTTTTACCTAAGTAGAAATACACCTTTGTTGACGAACTTTTTTTCCGAATAAGCTCCTGTATAGCAACAAACGACAAGAAAAGATAACGCCAGGGATCAGTACGCCAGGTTTCAGAATCATCCACAGGTGCCAATGGGGACTCCTAGCGATCCAAATTGTTTTGCCGCTACTGCGTAGACCGACAAACACCCTAGTTTATAAGGCGTACCATCAGGACTTCCAAAACCCTAGACCCCGGGGAAGACCACCCAAGAGGTGGAAAGATCAGATCCAGAGTGACACAGGGATTACTCTAAGTGTAGCTGAGGCTATCGCTCTTGACAGAACTGGTTGGAGGAACCTGACGGAGGGGAGCAAGGGGCCAGTACCTGGCCTGGGCACTTAGGCAGGTAGGCAGGTATGTGGGTTTTCCTGCAATGACCATTTTAGCCGTCTGGTGGCGCCTTTTCGGATCCCGCGTAAACAAGGTGTGGTGTGGATGAACTTTCTTATCAAGCCAAGATTCACTCTAGACTCCGTTATCTTACCGACATACATCAATACTAACACACACAAACCCACCAAACTACAAACATTGTCATACCGGTGAAGATAATAAAGCAGCTGCAATTCGTTTTCCCACTGTTTATTCAACCTTGAAACACGTACTATATGGCCGGTTTTCAAGAGTTCATGGGGTCGTCACTACATGCATGCAGGAATAGGTCTTTGATGATGTTCACACGGCTGTCAGGGTTCCCATGCTAGCCTGTGTCGGGTCACCAGAATTCACCTGTCCGCTTGTAAATATCAGGGTTCGAGGGAATGAAGCAGCTGTCATCGACTACCTGACAGTCACCTGATTACCATCACATGATATTGGGCAGCGGTACGTAAACATCAAGGTTATAAAACCGGAGCAGCTCGCTTGCCTTACTTACCACAAAGGTTTGTTACTGTACTTAACCACTCTACAGCCATGTACGCAGTAGTGCTAGCCGTGATTGCCCTGGCCTTGGTGGGCTCAGTGTCCGCCCAACCACAACCCTGCTGCACCCCCAACCAGTGGGAGGCCACTATGGTGGAGGTATAGAAACTTGACTGTTGACAACATGGTCTCGCTGTATATATATATATGTACAAAGAACGACTGGAGTAGGAGAAAAAATACTACGATGTGAAGAGCTATAGAATGCAAAGTCCGTCCACTAACTTGCTCCTGTCAAGTGTGAATAGTCTCCCAAGTTGAAACGTAACTACCGTGAAAGTTAAACGCAATGAACGTAGTTCTGTACCATGCCTATAATGCTCTTGTCAGGTTGTTATGTTTCCATTTACACCTAGGCTCAGGGCTATGTGCAAAACATGCAGCCCAAGACGCTCGTCGGGACAATCGAGGTGTCCTACGACTTTGACAACAAGAAGATGGCGTTCAACCAGAGGCTCAACAACTCAGGAACTCCTATTCTGGTCAAAGTCATCATCAACTACAACGAGGTGGGGAACAAAAGCAAGTTTACTCGTAGTTTGCGACTCGATAAGTTGATGAAGTGGTTTGTTTATTCATTTCAAACACATTGGAGTACAACTTCCATATGCCAATGGTGAATTTGAGGCTGCAGCAACCACAAATTCACCATTGGCCTATGGAAGTTGAATTCAGTTGCAACAACTTTCGACATACCATTCATTTTACACCATGCTTAGGGGAAAATGTACAGCATATCGGACGGCGTGTGTACTGAACTGAGCGCACCAACTCCCGACATGCCACAACAGTGCATCTCAGGTGGGTGGCTCTTGACATATGGCATACACTTTCCCCTTCTTCACATGAAGCTCGAGAAAGCGCATTAAAGCCGGGCACCGAACAAGTACGTCCCTCACCTCTGCCATTGGCACGCGACGCCAGCTTGCGTCTTTCGATCAAACGACATGTAAGTTACCAAGGATTCTAGACGTCATTCAAGTTTCACCGACATGTACTCTGGCACGCTTTCGATGACGATGGCACGCGCGGCTGGCGGAGTAGGTATGAGGTATGCGACTTGATAATACCTGGACCGCGGTTCGGTAAGCTTTAATGTGAACACAGCTTCTGTTAATATGTCAATTACCAACAATGTGTTATAACGAGTGGCACTCACGATGAGAACTCACCTCCATCTCCTATGCTAGCTGGTGCGATGTTTGAGAGAACCATGCGGCTAGGCGGGCCGGGCGGGCTGGAAGTGAACTCCTTCGGGCTGTGGAACGTCCAGGGCGTGGCGTACGGTACGGCCCAGATGACGTCAAGAGACTGCCTCCCTGTCACCGAGGTCCTCATAGCAGAGCAGACCGGGCAAGGTGAGCCATGTTCCGCCTCCGTCAAAACTTAGAAATGTTAAGTAACATAATAAACAAATGCAAATCAGTTTGACGGCCCTGTAGCCACTCTGTCATTGGACAGACAGGCAAGGTCTTAGAATCAAAGTACAGTAGTACACTATTGGATTTAACCAATATCAATAGCGTCATTAAATTAAATGTGTAGTACGTGCTCTTGATGTGTATTACTAAATGAATATATAATATAGATAGGTTTGTTGAAGAGGATGTTTGGTACGCGGTTATAACATTAACGTTACATACTTTCATTCAGCGACGTCCTTTTAAACTTCTCCCCTCAGTACTTGGATCAGTGCAGGCCATTATATTTGACGGGGTGACCACCGGCATCAAGGACCCGAGTGTGTTCGACCCTCCCAGTCCGCCATGCAACAGCATCCCAGATGCACATGTAAGGTTACTCCGTCTTTCATACCGTACGCCATGTCATGTGCGTCGCCAACGCCCTTGTCACAATTCTAGAATGATAAATTGAGATATTAAATTTGAAATCTCCTTGCTTGCACGAAGTAATGTTCAAAGCTACAAATATACGAATGGTAAAAAATAACCGTTGATACTAGTGAGCCCTTGACATTACATGACAACAACCAAGTTTTGTTTCCTTGGGTGGGTTAACTTTGATGTGCCGCTGAAAGTTAAACCACGGTGTTGACTGTACACCCAACAGGATATGCTCGCATAGTCTGCTAAAGTCTCGTGGTCTAATATTCTGTCCGTGTACGTTGTCGTTTCAGCATCAGGAAAGTCGGAGTGGGGGGACACCATTCTTCCAGAGAACCCTTGGACGCTTCGGGATCCCTGTCTTCTGAACAGCAGTGAAATATTCAGAGCTAGATAACACCTCGCTTTATGTCATCACTACGCAAAAGTAGTGATCTTTTCATCAAATAAATGCTATGGAATAAAAGTTGGTTGGTCGAGTACTGTGTTGTGTTCGGAGCGTGGATGTTTTCGGTGATACTTTCTGTGACGTTTTCCCGTCATCCATACCTGATCTACGTGCAGGGTTAGTCATGAATTCATCATGAAGAAATCCTAAAGTGTTTCCTCCTTATCTGACCTAAGATTGATATGCACTTCAAACGTCAACTTTAACATCTGTACAGACAAACATGACAATAACGTCCAGGTTCTGACCATAATTTAATCGTCAACAATTTTACAGAGAAGGAGAGTACTTCGTGGAAAAATACAAAACGTTTGTACAAGGAAATACATAATTGACAAATACATACATGTATGAACATGAGAAAATATACTATTAGATTCTTTCGTACTGACAAAAAGATATGGCCAGCACAATGAAAGCCAACACTGTGTGAAAAAAGCATGTACATGCAACTTCTTCCAAATTACACTATTTACAATGCCATTTCTGCTTTTGCAATCATCACTTATGCCTAGCACACATGGCCCAACGATTTAGGACATACTACTCAAACCTAAAAAGCAAACCTAATAGTCATTTTTATATTTCATATAGCCAACCAAAGAGAGGAATGAATAGAAATGGAATGTTTTCGACTGACAGCAAAATTCAGCATTTCAGTGCTGCACAATAATGCACTTCTCCCAAACAGTCCTGATCTGCATCGGTTCCCACCCACTTCCCCATACAAATCAAACTAAAAAGCAGAGAGCACCGTTTGGGGCAAAGGTTAGTTGGGGGAGGGGGGCAATCAGAGCACTCCAACTGGAGTACTCAGGAGGTCAAGTGTAAGAGTATTTAGTATAAACAGTGCTAAATACATGTAGTAATGTTACTACACCTTCACTTCTACATACTAATAATTAAATCTTGTTAAGGTTAATTCAACTCACTCGAACTAGAAATGTATCAAAATGAAACCCCAACTGTAAAACATGAAAAAGGATTGTAGTCACCCCCACCCCTTGCCTCCCCACACCATTCTGAAGCACTGTCAGCTATACAGGGAAGTTTAAAAAAAATTAGTATCAAACTATACCTAACTTTATGTGAACAACATTCTTTTAGTACTGTCAATGGATAACATGTCAACAAGGTGGGAGTAAGCCAAACTTCACACACCTTATAATTACATTACATTTTACAACACTTCAGCTAGTAGTTCATTAGTGACCTCTGTAAAACAATAACCAACTACTATACTACAAATGTATACTTTTCTGATTAAGCCAAGTACACTTGCCCAGACACAACATGTACAATTCCATTGCAAAAATACAAGAGTTCCCCACTCTTTTATGAATATGCACAGTAGTACACAGATCTTAAGCACATCACATATAGTTGGCAGGACTAACACTGAGACACTACATATTGCTTATTACAAGAAACAAGTTCCTTCAGCAGCCATTGTTATCAGCTCCTTTCTTACACAGTACCAAGCAGACAGCTTTGAGCTCCACAGATTTACAGTGCACATTGCACAGTTACAAAAACAAGCCTATTCCTTCTTTTCCTACTATGGCACTTATCAGCAAGCAGTTCTTTTGATGGCTGCAAGACAGTATCATTGGCAGAGCAGAGCGTATCCAGTACACCACCCGTTTGGCTGGTGAAATACTACTGATACCAGTACAAAAAAGAAAGCCCAATAAAAACCATTAAAACGTAAAAAATAAGTCAAGGCCTGAACATCTGCTTTTGAGACTACTATGGCACTATAACCCTGTGACATTAGTTTTCGAGACATCCATGACCTAAAAAAAAACATAGGCACCATCTGAGTGTAAAAATGATTTTCTGTCTACTGGCTTGAACAGGAGTGTTACTGTCAAAATACTGACTTAAACAGGTGTTTAATCTAACCTAATCTAACAGGCATGTTACTGGCTTAAGGTGTGCAACAGACTTTCACAGGAGCATTACTAGCTTTTACAGCAGTATTCCTGACTTTAACAGGAGTACGAGTATTACTGACTTTAACATACTATATGGTATTTGCTTTATCATGAACTTGTAGATTTCAAAAAGCTGACAGAAATTGCACACTTTGGTAATATTTTGTCACTGCAACAATCTGTATAGAAGAGTATAACTCACTTATACAACAATGTTTGCATAACATTTCTGACCGTCTTCACCAAAACTCTAAACATACATTCATGTGCGCAATGAAGAAAAGATGCATACAATAATTTTGAAAATACTTCAGTCAAAATTATATAATATCATGGTAATTGACCAGCAATGTTTCTACCATGTTGCATATCTGCCCAGTAAAGAATATAATAATTTAATTCAATTATTGTGAGTGTTTAGGGTATACATGTACTTTGATATACAATGTACCTGAATGACCTGTCACACTGTTTACATTTCGTACACCTGAACTGTCACCCTGTACAGCAATTCATTTCTGTTCTGAAGTCTTTTTGCTGTTAGATCTTTCATGCAAGTTTGAAAAAAAATAAATGACAGACACACACATGTACATGAACTTCTGAAACAGAGTCAACGTCTGTTACTCTCATCAACTTTCCCAAGGTGTGTTAACAATATCACATGCAGCCTGATCTAGATTTGATTTGGGTTTCCTGATACATTGTATTGGAATGTTGGCTCTTCTGATGGAGTTACATTTTTCACCACAGACTGAACTATCAGGATCACATAAAAAAATTCTGAAGCATAAACCTGGTGAAAGTGCAAATTTAAAACAGAGCAAATTCTCAAAGGTGGTTTAATATCTACATACTTTTCATGCTTGCTGTGAGACAAAGCTGAATTGTCTTTTGTCAAGAGTCACCTATGACTTTTGACATTGCAAGCAGTGTTTTTCTCTGACTGGCTATGTGATGCATTTCGTCCCTTCATCAAATTCCTCATTACTGAAAACTCAAGCAACCAACTGTTGTTAATTTGTTCGTGAGCAACATCCTGACTATTGTTAACTCAGTCAGTCTCTCTTCTTACACCTTTGCTGGACAGACTTCCCCAGGACCACCATTTGCTGGAGGTAGTTGTGTGTTCTTTTGGACAGAGGTGAGCACAAGTCTTCCAGGCGGAGCCTCAAGTTCTCCACTTCCTTTGGCAGGTGCTCCAGTGCCTGTAGGTCTGATGTTGACAGGCTGAGCCGTGTGGATGTAGAGGTTGTTGGGAGAAGCTTGGTCACCGCTCTGGGAGCTGAAGATGTAGAGTGGTGTTGACCTACACATGTAGAAAGAGTCGTAATCAGTCATATTGAACAGGAAAGACCAGAATGTTATTCTATGAGTCTATCTTTAAATCTTGCACACTGAAGTGGCCATTTGGCTACCAATTCTCTACTGCTTACGGGTTAGACAGTAGGTAGGTTTATCATGATTTAAAAAGCTACTGTATTCACGGTTTGCAGCTTTCTTAAAACCATGTCCCTTCAGACACGAGGAATATATATCAGAGTTTGAACAGACAATTTCAGAACGGCAATCCACGTAATGATTCTAATCATACTTGAAAGTATGAATGAAAAAATCCTGATATTTTCTGAGTTATTCTCACCCATCTTGACCCTAGTGTAACTCTGCAGGATGGAGAACAGCAGCATGGCCAGTTCCTCGCAGGCCTCCCTTACGGCCCCCATCTGGTCCTCACCTTCCTCCTCCACCTCTGCCAGCGCTCGCGGCTGGCACTTGAAGAAGCAACTGGTGATCCTCTGGAGGGAGATGGGCAGCCCCTGGTACAACTCATTGCACTGATTATAGAACATCCCCTCCAGGAACCTGTCATGGCAGAATTGTATTTAAGGATGGCAATGTAATAAAACAGTTCCTGAAAATGTGATAGGCTTTATTCAAAGATGAATGGACATAAAATACAGTCTCCTGATGTTAGGGAACATCGGATCTTGCAAATCACAGGGTTGGACAAGCCCCATTGCCCACTTGCCCAGGGCAAGTAAAAGTACTGTTTGGGCAAGTGAATATCCCCCTGGGCAAGTAAATTTTTTGGATTCAAAGTATAGCCCCTCCAGTATTTTGTCCAAGTTTCAAACAATGTTGATAAAAAAAGTATCCAACATTATGAACTCTATAATAAAATAATTTTTTCCTGTTAGTATGGTAAAATTCATATTTTGGACAAGTGAAATGTCGGTTCGGGCAAGTGGAAATGACCAGGTACTTGCGCAATAGGGCAAGTGGATTTTTAAAAACTTGTCCAACCCTGAAATCAGCCTAAGCTTTCGGTTCATGATTTTTGCAGCTAGTTGATTTCATTAAATGCTGGCGGTGACGTCACGGTACACATGGCAGCAGATTCAGAACCTGGCACCTTGGCTCCTAAGAAATGTTCCCAATAAATAAATACATGTAAATAAGTCCACAGGAAAATAACAAGACTTCTGCCTACCAGAGCCTGAGTTGGTGAGCTTGCATCGTTTGGAGCAGCAGACGACAGTCCCTTAGTCTGTAGAAGGCATTTAAAGGGTTTTGTTAACACATAGACTGAGGTACATCTCTGGGAATTAAACAAACATGGCATCAAGTAAACAACAATATAACATGAGACACCAACAGTGAACTGACCTGGCAACATACAGTAAAGAAAGTTGCAGAGTGAATATATTGCAATCGACATTGATCTGGTGCATCATCAACTCACCTTGCCAAACAGATGTATGAGGTGAGAAGCTCGTTCCCCATCTTTCGACAGTCATAGGGACTGTCACTGGCCTCTTCCACCAATAGCAGCAGTTTCTGTAGCGACTGTAAACACGACGGCACGTTGGCCTGCTGGACGTTCCCGAACGAGACCGCACGGCCAGTCCTGTGGTAGGACTGAGACTTCTTCTTGGGCGTAGTGCAACTGTTGGCAGGGATCGTTCGGTGTTCCAGCCCTACAGAGTTCACCGTCCACCTGAGAAGCTCCTCCACTTGCTGGTAATGCCTGTCTGAGGAGAACTGTCTCACTAGGGAGTGATGCCGAGACTTCGACCTCAGATGTCTCCTGAGGTCACTCTCGCACAACTTCACCAGGTATTGCAGAGCGTGGGCATTGTTGTAAAAAGACACAGCATTCAAAGGTGCAGCAGATTCTTCCGTGAGACCAAGATTCTTGCACAGGGTTTGTAAGAGCGTCCAGAACCATTTGGCGCCATCTGACTTAACCTCAAAGGGGTGCAAGTTCTGGACATGTTCAAGGACCTGAAACGCTTCTGATGCGATGGTCTCACTTCTACTCTTCAGAAGGATCCCCTCGATGATGAACTTTGTTGTGTCAGGTGAGTTTACACGCATTGGGGTGGTAAAGGACTTGATCAGGTTCAGATAGGAGTCATAATCTTCCGCTTCCTCATAAGAGTTCAGCATGTTGGAGCGAAGCGGACCAAATGTCATCTTCTTCTTCCTAAGAGAAGACTGAGACTTTGATGACTTTGATGGACCATGATTGTCACTCTGTACTTTATAGTCCGTCATGAATGTCTGCAGTTTGTTAGGTCTGATGACTTTTCTACTTTTCCTTCTCCATTGCACGGGAGACTCTGCACAGCTTCTTGTGCTGTCACTGATTCTTTCACTGCACGGCTCCTTCTTGATAACAGGAACTGACACACCAGCTGATGGAAAGTAAGCATCTATGATCTCTAAATCAGGCAAGTCATCACTGCTATACCTTTCTTTCAGAGCCGGACAGTAGTAGGATATCAACTCTAGGTCAGGCAGTGCGTCGTCACTCATGTCCTTGGAGCTTATTCTGTCATCAGAGACGACAATTGAGTCCTCCTCTGACTCTGCCTGGCCTCGACTGCTAGTGTGATCATCACTGACTACTACTGCTACCTCCTTTGTACTAAGAGGATCTTCGAAGGAAAGCTGACATCTGCTCTTCTTAATAGCTTCCCCACATGCATAGGTACTAGTTGAGGACTTGGTAGGGTTGTTGTTTCCCACTACGTTAGTGTTGCGTCTCCCGTCGGGGATGTCTGTGTCAGAATCATCTGACAAGACCATGGGCTTTCTCTTCCCCGACCTGTGACGTTTTCTCGGCGTTGCCCAGTCACTTGAGTCGGAATCCGACAATCTTTGCCTCTTGATCAACTTTGCCTTGGGGCTATGTCGCACGATTTCCTCTTCAGTAAGTCGCGTCAGGGTGACACGACAGTCCTTCATCCTGATGGTTTCGTGGGCACCATTCACAACTGGGCTGTTCTCTACCTTCGTACCTTTACCACTTTTCTGTTTTGTGGGAGTGGGCAAGCCCGGAGATCCTGCACGGGCAGACTTGCTCTTGCTTGGCGACTTCGATTTCGCCTTTTCCAACAGTTTAAAAGAGCTAGCCAGAGTCCTGCTTGCTAGTTTGTGTGTGGAGACATCTTTTGCGCCACACTCAATGTTGGTCATGTTCACCCTTTTCGCTGGGCTCTCATCTGACAGATAGCCTGACAGAGACCTTTTCCTGCTGTCAGACAAGGTTCTGCTCACAGACTTGGTGCATACGGATGAGAACGTCCCTATGTAACCGCCCTGCAGTGGGAGTGGAACGGGCGGGAGGTGTGAGGAGTTGTTACCGTGTGGGGAGCAGGCTGTTCCATTCGGCAGCTGAAGAACTGGACCGGCTACAGCTGAGGGGAACTGCTGGCTGATACCTCGGGTCCTGTTGAAGTCCTGAGCGAAGAGGCATGAAAAAACAGCACGTTGGTGATTCACATATTTAAGTTGGTTTGCACTGTAGAATTTACCCAGAATGATACACAAAATGTGAAATGTTCTGTGCCAGAACATTTAAACGTTTCTGTATCATTACAATGAGACCAGACTGTAAAATAAAATAAAACAAACATTGTCTATGGGTACCCAAATACATTCTTTGTAACCAAGCCTAAAAAAACAAAGATACAATGATCTATAATCTCATGGTGTCAGTCCACAATCTAGTTTTTCCTAGAATACAGGGTTCAACAGGTAGTGATAAAATAAATTTACACTTGTTGATGGCTTGAGAGTGTTTAAAGGTACGCCCACACAAATTTCAGAACAATTTTTACAATGTGTCGCCCAGTTATGCTATTGTTCCTTGTTCTCGTTCAAAGTATTACCATTGTCATTAATAAACCAAATCCTTGGCATTAGATGGTCTACAAATTCGTGTACTGTAAGCTTGTAAATGACAATAAAAAATTGTAAGGTCACCAAGCCTGTAGGGACTAGTACAGCTCAATTTCAACCTGTCCTGGCAGATGTTAGGACAAAGCCCATCTGCATGATTAAGGTTCCCCTTGTTCACTGATCTTTTCATCAGAAACAGACTACTTGTTGCGTCACCACTGACTTTGTGATGCACAGGTCGGATTAATGACCTGCACGCGGGTGTGTATTACCATTACAGGGCTTGAAATACAGTGCATGTTAGAGCAGGTAAAATTTGAGCAGTGCAGGTGCAGGTATTACTGGTGTCTACCTGTACCAGTTCATGTTCTGCCTGGGTTTATGGTCTCATTCATGAGTTTTTTCCATACATTAGAAACCATGCATTAATGAGTGACTTACGAGACCGTGTTCCCTATGATCCTACATTAAATCAATTGATATCTTTCATGCTATGTTAAGCACACTTACTCTACGTCTCATAAAAAAATTGCCAACGACTTCTAAACACACAATCCCTTTTTATGGGAATTACAAACTGCACCTAGCGGCTGCCCGCAAGAGGTCCTCCCGCGCTGCAAACCTACGACCGCACAACTCACAACACTGGACTGTGCACGTCCGACCTAGCGCGCGGCTGCCGACAATTACGTCCTAATTTCATCAGTTACAAACAAGCTTTCACTGCTTTGACGTTTTACATCAGTTGGGATGGCTAAAGGGAAAATTCTCACCAATAAAAACACGCGTTCATACAGCCGTTTAGTTTTTGTACTTGGTACTCTTTTAGGGGGTACACTCGGAGTAATACATGAATGAGACCTTAATTACCATTGATTATTAAGATTTTGTCTTAAATGAAAGAAGATACATCCCCTAACAATCTCTGAGAAAGATTTTGTCTCACGTCACTCCGTTACCAAGCAACGCGTCAATAAAGTTGCGTGAAAATTTTGATATGAGCAGCGCCACCTGGCAGTCTGAAATAAAAGTACAACAGATATCTTAATTACCCTTATGACGTGTCGGAAACAGTAATTAATTGTTTTTGTCATTCCGTTGGGTAGATTAATGTGTTCTGTATGAGATTGTTTGCCTGTAAACCTGAATAGACAGCAAGTGATAGATCTGAACGATGCTGATCATTTGGTGTATGCTGGCAAATGATGCGTAGCATCAGTAAGGACATTAATGTGCATGTCGCATCAGGACACGCCCGTAAAAGCGAAAACATCGACATTACACAAACAACAGTAAAGCCAAACATATACACTTACTAAAATTTGAACCCGAGGTAAGAAGAAATAAGCGACATGCTGCATCTAGCGCACTCTAAAGGTCAGCCTAGGCGGGAATGGGGAGTGGTTTACAGAGGTGACGCAAGATGCTACTTACAGAATGCAAGGCAACTTCGGTCAAAAGTACCTTTTTCTAGTCGTTGAGAAGAATAAAGGCAAAAGAGGCCAAATTGACCATAAAGTATCACTCAGAAAGGAAGGGGAATTCCAGACAGCGTTCTTAGCACAGAGCAAAACAGAAACTTTTCCAATGAAAGTTACAGTAATGCCTTGGCATAATATATCCCTTCTCACCTAAGTAGAAATTAACTAAATCTAGTCTGATTTTGCAGTCTGGAAGTCTGGGGGATACAAATTCACGTCAGCTGTAGCGTGTCAGGTGTTTTTTGTCAGTTTTGGGATGGGGCGGGGTAAGGATCCACCGCCCTGACAGTGGCGGGGGGGGGGGGCGA